AGGGCATGGCCAGCGTAGATCTAGGCAGAGTAGCCAATTAAGAGCCTCCAGACAGACTGCCCACCTTTCCACCTCTGAAAAAATATCAGTAGTCCCCATCTCCAAGCATTTCCCATCAAGCTTTCGGCATCTCCCATTCGTTATCCAGTCTGTGTCAGAGAGCGCTATGGACAGATAAACCCAACAACTTTTCATTTGGATCGCTCCATCCTCCAAGTCTGGCAGCTGATCTAGGAGCTGTGTCAGATAAACAAACCCTAACCCTGCCTTGTCACTTGTGATCCACGCACACGTTAACACCTCCAAAAACTGGGGGAGACAGATTTACACAAAAGCTGATACTTCCAGCTATCCTGCAAAAGCTGCTCTTTCAGTTCAGCACACAGAAACCAAAAAGGGGCACAAACAGCACTTGTGCTCAAACGCAGCTTCTACTGCCCCAGAGCAGTAAAAATCAATGATTTAAGCAGCAGTCAAGATCTCCTCCTGCCCGGTGACTTGTTCCAGTCCCTCGGCAGTGAAGCATTTTGCTGATACTTGCTAGGAAACTCTTGGGATACAAAAATAAAGACGGACTTTACCTTCTGCTGAAACCAGCGCATGGCTTCTTCCTTTCCAATTCTGTGCTTGGCTCCAATGTTGCCAGTCCTGCGTTTCTTGTCAGCAATGCTGAAACCAGGCCTGCCCAGCACCTGCCAGGAGAGGAGACCCACAGCACTATGTCATTCTGGCACTTATTTATTTTCTTAAACTTGACAGTTTTCTAGGAGGAAAGGCTAGAATTTCCACATCAGTAACATCTCCTTGTCTGAGTCACATTCAAGACAGAGTATTATCTTCTACAGCCTCAATGTAAACTGAAAACTAAGTAACTTCTGAGCAGCCAGGTCAACTGACAGGGACAGCTCCTAGATTGGACAACTTGGCACGTACACTGACTCGGAGAAACCAAAATGAGTGTGGAAGACACACTATTCCATACCCAGAGGCCTCACGTCTTGAGAAAAGATACACTGAACAGCATTGCTAACACGTATGGAACAGCTTCCCTCTATTCCAGAGATTTAGAGTGAGGCACAGCAGAATGGAACGACTCAAACATGCTACATGACCCAGCCCTCTAAACGCAGGGAGAACCTTCCAGCAATGCAGCCCATCTTTCAGGCTGCATTCCTGAAGCCCTTGCTGCTCATTCCTTCCCCAGCCGAGCACAGCTGTTTCAGTGTTATCCCAGGAGTACCAGGAAGAGCAACAGTATTTGTTTCTGAAGAGGCTTTGAGAGACATGTCATAAATCAGGGATTTTATGGCAGCCCTGGGAATCTCGGTTTAGACTTGGATTTTGTTGACATTTTTCTGTCTTCCAGCACTTGGCAGCAAATCCATGTGAGCCAGTTATCACTTTAGGTTCCTTCCAGAGCTTTCACACAAGCCCAGTAGCTGCAGGGAAGCGGGAAATACGCACCACGTAAAAGTCCAAGCCGTAGATACCAATACTGGGATCGTATTTAATCCCCAGATCGATGTGCTCCTGGATTCCAAAGCCAAAGTTCCCAGTGTCTGAGAAATTGTTTTTTCTCAACTCGTATTCTCGCACCTGAAACATTTGTTGTCAGTCACTATTTCATTTTTAACTACAAAACAAGAAGTCCTGTGTGTTCCAACTGCTACCAGACCCACAACTCGCTCTCATGCTACCACGTCTTTAGCCCCAAGATTTTGCTCCCACAGCCTGCTCACAAATCGCAGCAGCAAAGACAGAACCTCAAAAGAAAGCAGCAACTTGCACCCACTAGCTCTTAAATAAGGATAAAACAGCAACCAGAGCGAGACACAGAACAAACACAGCAGCCTGTGCATCGGGCAAAGCTGCTACCCCAACCCTTAACCCCCACCCATGACTGACCCGTAACCAGATCAGACGCAACATTTCAAAGCATACATCTTTGGATTAAGTTTTGTCCTTTCACAAATCAAACGTCCAGACCAGCCAACTTCTCACCTTCAACCCCTTCTCCAGAATCTCCTCTGCTTTGGCCCCGCGAACCGTGCAATGAACAGCAATCTTCTCGTTTCTCCTGATGCCAAAGGATCTTACAGTGTATCGTGCTGTGGGCAGCAATAATTACACTCAGAGGCTATTCAAAGAATTCCCCCGCGGGGGATTCAGAGCTTGCTTTAGAAGACCAAAGAAATTACTTTAAAGGAAAGAAAAAAAAGAACCAAGGCAACCACACGCACCCTCTGTGGGGATGAGGGCAGAGCAGCAGTCCGAGCCTGGAGCCAGGACTGAACTGACAGAAACGACCGCCAGCACCTCAATATTTCAGGCCCCCCAATTCTCACAACAAGGCCCACATCAGAGCAGCCCTCCCCACACTGGCCCTGCCAAGGAGCCTCTGCACCGGCAGTCACGCTGCCGCTTCACCCTCTGCATGCTCAGGAGAGGAAGGAAAACCACCGCTGCTGAAGCCGGAGAACAAACTCGCTCCTTTGCGGCCCGCCCCGGCGGCCGGCGGGCAAACCCGCCCCTCACCTTTGGAGAAGACAGGGGTCTGGCCCGTCAGCTGCTCCAGCACTTTGGCCGCTCGGGTGAGCCTGTCCCCGCTCTCCCCCACGCAGATGTTGAGGCAGAGCTTGCGGATCCGCAGCTCTCGCATGGGGTTCTCCTTTTCACCTTGGTCTTGCTGCGGAGAAACGACACGGGGGCTAACGGGGGGGCGACCGGCAGACAGCCCA